ACGTCGTCAGCGAGTCGGGTAATTGCTTCATATGCTGCATCTGATTCCATTACAGAGGGGCTGAGTGACAGGATGAGCCCGTCATCACACAGTGACTCATCCGGTCCAAAGCGATCGAGCCCACAAACAGCCTGGATGTGCTGCTGCTGGTGATGATGATGATGATGATGACGTGTATGTGCCAGTTGCCAATTAAAATGTTGACTTTGGGGAGAAGGGAAAATGAGTAGTGACAAGTGTAGAAAGTGGGCTGTCAGAGATTGTGCAGGTTACTGACATCAAACACAGAATAACAGGTTAAAGGCAGACGGACTAACCACAGTCTTAAAACACCGGCTGTGTTGAAATCACTCCTGTTAATTTCTGAGTTACAAAGGAGGTGAAATCACAGACATAAAAGACAACTATACTTTGAATCATCAGTGTACATGTAACCGGCCACGTGATTGGGTAACGAGAGTAGCTGCTGTGGCTCTGTGTTCTCGCGCTGCTGTAAGGTTTGTTTGTTATGGGACGGGTTCCTTTTTAGGCAATGGATTCAAACCCTCCTTCTGCTTCCTGTGCCTGCAGAGATTTTCTCCCCCGATACAAAGATTTGCATCCGATGCTAACTGATGATTCAACATTGTCTTTCAGTGTGATGTGGATGGTTCTGCCTTTATTTGTATGTTGCCCACATTGGTCTCATACTCCACTGTGAACCAGTATTTATGTGATTGCAGCTAGAGCCCAGCTGACACTGAGAATAGGAAATATCCAAATTGAAATCAACTGAGTCCACCTATGCTGGACTGGGATGGGGTCAAGTATCCCTGGAACACTAGTTGGATGGGGGGCATTAAACCTGGAGTGGGTAGCACGGTTTTAGTGTCATGTGAATAAACATAGACAAACATTGTGGAAGGGAACCAGTCTCCTAAAGCTCTGACTGGAGACTTTGGCCAATCACAGGTTTTGTTTTCCACTCCAGCTCAGGTGAGTGACAGACAGTATTTAAGATCCAGTCTTTTATCTGATTTCCAGCAGAACAGCTCGCCTTGAAAGGTGAGAGTCAATTTATGCAAAAATGAAGCTCAGAAATCTTTTTTTAGCTTATGACACGTGGACCACCGAGGGAAGAGCTGCGGCTATTTTCTATTTTACAATTCTGCCTGTTTTACATTTCCTTTTGCACATTTTTGCCTACTGCTCATTAAACTAATCAAATTTGGTTTACAGGGCCTGGAAAGTACTATTGCATATGTGAAAAGGTGTGGTATGTCTCAACAAAAGGCTGTGCAACCTTTAAAGTAGCCACACACGACGTAACTTGAATCATTGGTGGTCAGGGCTGAAGACTACAAGTTAAATGAGGGAGTTAAAAAGACGTTACCTCCTCGTTTTTGCTTGAGCCTAGCTCCAGGCTGAACCACAGTGACTGCAATCCTACCAGTCAAGTGCTTGTTTGTCACAAAGCCAAGACGGAGCATGGACCGTGGTGTAATCACTCTGCTCCATCCATGGGGCTCTGTGCGAGCAGGCAGCATCTACTGATGGGAAAGTAACCTCAAAGTGCAACTTGACTCTTATTGACTAGCTCTCACAGACGTGGGAAACTAACACCGGCAGGAGAAAATGGAAACATAGCTTTTTAATAGAACAGATTGAACTCTATATCTGCTTTTCATGAAAGATTTCAGAGCAAATACTGAGCCGACTTGTGAAATTATGTCTAAGTAAAGCTTTTAAAATGTGGAAATGGTGCTGTGGGAAAGGTTTGAGGACTTGGAATAATATAAGAAATGTGTGCAACTCCTGCAGGTCCCCGCAACAGTAGATGGTGCGAGAACCGTCCACTCTGAATAGGATGATTACCAGGATTTGGAGCATGTTGGTTCTGATGATCTGAAAAGTGAACACCTCCCTAATAGAGGCTGCTTCTTAAATCAAGACATGAATGTAAAGTGTTGAGCTGATATTAAAGCAGCATGAAAGCAGCCAGTTCTCCCCTGACATTAAACCATTGCTCTTATTTTCTCGGGCTGACGGGCGGCGCAGCATCCTGCCGCGGCAGACTGTGCAATGATGGATTTCTCACAGATGTGCAGAGCTCTGAATGGGGAAGAAGTGAACGGGAAAGGGGGTAGAGAGGTTTGTTAATGGCAAAGTGGCTGGGCGGGAATGACTTCCCACTTGGGCTGCCTGTCAGGTACACCTGCTCCAAAATGCGGTCACCTCACGACATCATCGTCTCCTTGAGTCAAAGTCAGCGTCAGCAGCAGCTGCCTGGCCCACAGCTTTGGGGACAGAGCTCTACGGCGAACATCAATGGTGGCTGTTTTTCACAGTTAAATTTAAATTAGTCTGGAGTTCACATCGATTTCTAAACCACAGGCGCACAGAGAGTGGCGTGTGTCATCTTCGGTGGGCACTCGTGGGTTCTGTCGAGATGGAGGAGAACGTCTTTTTTTATGCTTGGAAGGGCAGGGCTCATTTCCCTCATGCAAATGACCCTGCAAGCGAAAGGGGAAAGCAAATGCTATTGGAAGGCTGACAGTGGTGTGTGGAAAATGTTGTGTGACTGGCACTGAGACTAGTACAGTCCCCCAGTGTATGCCACAGAAGGGAAAGAGGGAGCGAGCCAAAAAGAGGGGTGTGTGGAGGTGGGGGGAGGTGGGGATTTCCTTTTCATAAGAGCTTTGGTGTTGGAGGGGTTCGCTTGAAATTTATGTCACCGTGAGGCCTGATGCAAAACTTTTAGCTCACACAGCAGGATGGACACACACACACACGAGCACAAGTTTAAAAAGAATTTGATGCTGTAAGTCAGTAATAATCCCACTGACTGTGCATGTGAGTGGGCAGCGAGCAGCCCAAGTGGAACCTGTGGTCATATTGTCTGCTGGGACGTGTGGATAACTGTAGTGAGGTCTGGCTTTTCAAACAGAAATGGACTGAACATGGAGACGAAGGCAAAGACAGGCCCTCCAAATCAAGTGCGAGGACACTACCAGGCACTTAGCATCCCAGAACTTCACGTAGCGGCTGCCATCCTCCAGACAGCAGTTCTGGAAGTTACGTAAGTTTCAGATATAAATATACTTTTTCTTCTGCTGTGACAGAAGAGGCCAGCTGTGAGCAGGGACAGAATTGGAGCACCCTGTTCCTTTTATAGTTTGTGCCCAACGAGGTCCCAGTCCGGTGCCTGTGATCTCCAACAGCAGACCCACTTCAGAGTCCACATACTGCGGGGGGATTGTGCTGCAGCCTCACACTCGGAATGAAGCGATGGACGTGAAATCTGGAACGCCCGTTTCCTTACTAGCATTCATTTGGCTGATTCTTCCCCAGATGACGATGAATTTTTGAAACTTCTTGGAAAACGTCTTCTGTTCCCATAAGCATCAACTCGAAACTGTAAAGCACTGCGAACAGTAATGTTTCTCAGGCAGGCTGATGATGACATCTCAACCATTGAGATATCAGTTAGAGGGTGAAAGAGAGTTTAATTGGCCAACAGGCGGGGATACTTGAATGTTTTAGTGATGTCTGCTCGCCATGCTATGTAAGAGCATCATTGCAAAAGACAATTTTCCAGGAAGTTCAGGTGTTAATGGGGCCTTGTTAAATGATTTGCAAAATACTGTTTTCGTGTGCACTAAGGATCGCCTGCACTCTTATCTGAAGGAAGTGAATGTAAGCAAGTGTTTTAGGTGCATTTTAATGTGTTGCTGCTGCAGGTTTATGTGTGTTAACCTTAAATGGTTTTGCATCAGCTGCAAAATAAGATGCTTTATACCAAAAACAAGTTGCCACAAATATGCTACATTTATTATTTATTCCTCATAAGCTGAAATGTATGCATGTGTTCTCACTTTAAATGTGCTTTCTCCTCTTGTATGAGTTCAAGCCTGCATCTGAAATCTTCCTTTTAAGCATTCAGCCTCGTTCCTGAGGACTCAAGGTTGTTTCTCAGTACCGGTGCAGCCAGGAATGGACTTCAGAAGGACACTCCAGCCAAGTCTCCTTTAGAGAACACTCTGGCACCATCGCAAGGACGAAGAACAGCTGTCACCGTTTGTTCTGCTTAGCTGTTAGTGTGATCCCCGCTTTTGAAAAGACGCCACAGCCATCGTGCTTCATTGTGGTCAAATGATTTCTTTCACTGTTTCATTTGCATTTTTATCTTGCAAATAAACCGAATAAAACCACAGCTGTGTTTCAGAGGGTTCCTGTGTGGTAAATGTAGTCGAAACCTCATTTAGTCCGGTTAGCTGCAACATGTGGAAAATGTTGCTCATTCATAACTTTTTCTCACAGTTAACTCCCTGAAAATGAAACCACAGCACATTCAGATTATCTCCTGTCTCATCATTCTCGTAGTAACTAATATCCATATGAACACACTTTAATTTTTTACTCCTGCTTCTATTTCAGTTATTTCCAAACATGCTGACAAAGCTATTAGTTGGAGCTGCAGTCATTTCCAAAAAAAGGAGAAAAAAAGAAAATAAAAATAATTCCAACGCGTGAAACAGAAACTTTGGAGTGAAACATGTGCAGATGAACCTGCACATGTTTCACTCTTCTATCTCAGCTTTCGGCTCCACGGTGGATGAGCCTGGAGCGCAGGGCAGCCATGTCTTTAAGCTAAAAACCTAAATGACCGCATCTACATGCTCACTGCGCAGCGGGCATCAGAGCTGCATCCGGGCTGAGTTCCCTTCACTTCAAGTCTTCGGCTCCTATGTGCACTTGTCTCTCACACGCAGCAGCAGCAGTTTTGTGTGCTGTGCTTTCAAACCTGCGCTTTGAACAGCGCCTTGTTCAAGTTCAACTCAGCCTCTGATGAGCAGCTGAAGTTTAGGCAAAAAAAAAAGAAAGACAAACCCCCTACAAGGAGCAGCAACCATGACAGAGTATGTACAAGTTATTAACCCGCATTACACCACACGGAGCACGGGTCCTATTTCAAGGGGATATGTCTGAGGTGGCTGCGGGCGGGGGGGTCTGCGCTCAGGTACACGCAGCCAATGAGGGCAGGAGGGAGTGCCCACAACAACCGAGAGGCGGTCCGCGTCGGCACAGACACAGCACACCTTCAGATGGGGATGAAGTAGCAGCGGCAGTCGAGCAACACAGAAAGAGCAGCGTCTGAACCGCGGATCCGGAGGTTTTCTTCACTTGGGGGGGGGACAGGTGACCGACCGCTCCCGCGTCCTTCGGTGGAAATTACTGCTCGTACACCCTCCAGGCACGCGCACCCTCCGATTCCCACAATAGATGTGACTGAACTACATTTCTGTCTGATCATCTAAGCCCGGCACACCAACATGGAAAATGCGCACACTAAATCGGCGACTGAAGTTTTAGACAACTTCGGTGTGAACGAAAACACTGGGCTGACTCTCGAACAGGTCAAAGCCAACCTGGAGAAATATGGACCGAACGGTGAGTAGCTCTGTAAATCATTTCCCTCTTAAATTTGCGGCTCGTGGCTGCTGCGTGTCATGATGTATATCGATTCATTTCCCAGGAAATCCCTCAGCAGCCGTTATATTTCATGCTGAGGCAGATCGTGCGCGTAAAAAACAGCCCCGTTCCCTCAGGCGCACAGTCAGTGGAAATGTCAGAGGCACATTCATTGATGCTCATGCCCGTGTTGAAACACCTCGCAGCGAGCACATAGAAGCCCCGTCTGGGAAGGAAAGGTGTAATGCAAGCCTGACCAATCCAGCTACATCTGTGTTTGAGTTAGTCCCCCTCCCCGAGGTCGCCTCGTGTCTGGTCTGGTTTGAAGTCATGTCAAGTGGCTTAGTGAGCAGACAGACAGCGCGCTTGTATCTCACCAAAACCAAAGAAGGGTCCACTGACCAAATACCGACACAGTATGCGCAGCTGTGTGAGGACGGGCATCCTCGGCTGTCCTGCAGAGTTCGGGCTTTGGGGCATGGTCTGTGCCGTAAATAATCACACTGAAAATCTTGAACAACCTGTTTTCACTTTCAACAGTGGTTCTTACACAGGGCCTCTACTTTGCAGTTCAAATTACACGATAACAGAGGGAGTAGCTGGGTCAAGTCATGTAACGTTTCAGAGTGACATACTGGACCAGGCCCGGGTTGCCAGGTCTGCCTGTCAAAGCCTCTTTCAATTGAGGCTCTCAGCTGGACTGATGCTGATCATGAGCAAGCCTGTTCAGGTCTACCTCATCGCGTACATGCACCGACACATACTGGTGTTTGTGTGGTTTTGTGTGGAGTTTGGGCCTGACACCAACGCACCTATCGCTCCTGGCCTGTCATTTGCATGTGCTGCCAAGCTGTTGAGCAGAGCCGCGCATTGTGCCAGTCGAACAGTAGCCCTTTTGTTGCAGCCAGCCGACTCTACCCAGGGGCTCGTGATGACTTCATGGAAAAAAGCAACGTCTTGCTACAGATAACATCTCTTTCGCTTTGAGCTGTGAACTTCCTGCCTTGTGTGAGCGCGCTGCAGAGAAACACTGGAGGGAGGGAATACCCCCCCTTTTTTTCCCCAGTTTTTGGGGGCTACCTGCAAAAGGGTTATCACGTGCTTTTTCCCAAGTCAAAGCTGTTGAAAAATGACAGCAGGAGAGTTGACGGGTCTGTTTACTATTTTAGTGCATGTCCCTGCAAAGTGATATACGGCTGCTTAACTGCTGCTTCCCCTCTGCTCGCAAACCACAGACTTTGTAGATGAAGCAAGGGCCTCATATGCGCCTTGCTGTTTTGTTCCAGGCTACGTTGGTTCAAAGCAGCTCGCGGCTGGTATGATTACCTTGCCTCCACTGACATGTGTGCACTGTCTGGTTAGCAGGGACCCCAAACATGCGAGATCCTCCACTATTCGTCTGAGCTCAGCGTTTGCCTCGGTTTGGAGGCAGATAGGACGTGAAAATGACGCGAGCTGCTGTCCAAGTGTCGCTCCAGCTGTCTGTGTAAGGAGGCACGACACGCTAGGAAGATTACATGATCTGTTTGACTCCGAGATGACACTGTCGTGGGCCTGGTGGGACTTTATCCTCTTGCACTGCCTCTGCTGTTTGAGATGAGACTGTGTCCTGCACTATTATGTCGGTGCATAATATGGAGGTCACAAATAAAGGGAAACCACCATGAGGTTAAATATCGGCCTAGTATGAGATTTTTCCCCTGATTGTGGTGTAGATGGCAACAGGTTCAAACCTTACTGATATTTATATCATCTTTCTTTGTAACTTGTTGCTGAAACGTAAATACAGGTGAGCTTTCTATCAGCACTTTAAACGCGCTCCATCGGAGCAGCCGCCCTCAGGCTTTGTTGGAACATTAGCTCCCACATATGGAGAGAGCCTTTTCTACACAGCAGTCTGTGCTGCAGAAAGGAGGCAGCTGGCCTTTTATTCACACCTTCCGTTTATGGTCTAGCAGCAGCTCGCTTATTTGCAACTCCATTCACAGAGACGCACACTACAGGCATCCAGCTAAACTACTGTTGAGCGCTGCAAGCACCTCAATTTGTGAGACAGTTTATCACTTTCATCATTGTGATGCAGCAGGAGAGAGGAAGTCGCAGGTCTGTCTCTCCTGTGTGTGGGTGCACACTTGTGGTGCTCAGTGATTGTGTGCTGCACTCATTGTTAGGAAGAGTCAGAAAAACGACACGTTTGCTCTCTAAACTTTCTTTGTTTAAAAAACCGACATTTTAAAGTAGCTGACACTCGAATGAATGAACGAGTGTTCATGGCATCGGTCTTCTTCTTAGGAATTGAATATATTAAATGATGTTTAAATTGAGAAGGATTCTTACTCGGAGCATGTTAAATAATTAGATTTCATTCATATCCTCCTGTTTTGGAACAAAGGCCCCTTCTGTGACTAATTTACAGTGTGAGGCTTTTCTATTTCCTTTCTTTATGGGTTCTGTTTTTTCAGTTACTTTGCACAAGTGCAGAGCCTTCAGAATAGCCTGAATGTGTTAGGATGTCACTCGACACTCCCTGGAGTATAGTTGTGCAACATTTACAGGTTAAACAACTTGGTATGACGTGTCATTGCGCCACCATTGCTCCGTGTCCAAAATGACATGCGTTTTCTGGCTCGCAGATGGAAATGCTTCGAGTCAAATTGCCGGTGGCAGCAAACCAAAAGTGTTCGATTGATAAACTGTCATGAATGCCACTGAACTTCTTCTCTTCTTTGAAGTTGTTTGAATTAAAGCGTTTGGTTACTTTCACTGATGGAAGCTGCCTGTTGTTGTTATTCTAAGGTGATTCTGTCTTTATCTAAGCTGTTTCTTCAGTCTGGTTTCTGCCACACATAATAACTACAGCTTCCTCTGGTAGGATCTCGCTCTCACACAGGGCTGTTTCTCTTCCTGTTCTGCAGATCAATATAAAAGCTGCCTGACTTAATCTCTCCTCCATTTGAAATGTGAGAGACACGCTGCTTCCTGCTCCTCCTCTCTGCCGGCACACTCACCATGGCGCTTTGCAGAGCGCGTCTCGATCACTGAAAAGTGTCCAGTTGAGACTTAAACTGCGGTAACAGTGTTGGTGTTGTGTGGGCTGAGAGAAGTTGTAGAAAAGTAATTTGAAGTCTTCGGGGTGTTGAGTCACTTCCCTGTTGTAGTGGCTCTGTGCGTGCCTGCCCAGCTGCCTTCTAAGGGACTGTGATCCTGTTCTAGCTTGTCACTTGTCTCGGCTTCTTCCCTCCCACCCCTGCATGTGTCACTCATCATCAAGCCCTTATGTTAACATGATATTGAGTCATGAGGCTCTAACACGTTGCCTGGATGCTCTGCTACAGCACGGTCCGATCCACAGAGGAGATGCACGGAGTTTGTGTTCCAAAGTGTGGGCAGTATGCAGAGCGTGTGCTGTAGCCTACACTGCCTTCAAATATACCACAAAGAGGTAAAGAGCACATGAAAGTCATTAAATAGCATTCAGAGACGTCCAAGAGCAGCGTGGGTTATGGATAATCAGCTGCATGTCAATTAATGATCATTAGTGGCTGGAACACTAGAACCTAACAGTTGGATCAATGGTTAAATAACAGACTGAATCTAAAAGATGGCAGCAGTTCCCAGTCTGAAAGGTGAAGCCAATGGCCAGCAGGGGGCGCCTCCTCTGGTTTGGATGCTGAAGCTTGTGATCTGAGTAAACACTTTCCTGATGAGTTTGTGATTCTAATCGTTAGTTTCAAGTTTAGTACCGCAGAACGTTCATGTAGAAAATCATTCGTATTGTAAGTAAAACGTGATGAAGCTGAGTGTGCCTACAAGTTGTGATTGCACGCACATGCAACGAGCGTCCTTGCTTTTTGTGTTAATTCCACCCAATGACTGCAGTAGTTTCTACAGTCACCGATTCTGCCCTTTACTAGCAACACTTTATGCACCCATCCATCGAGCCAGCGTCTCAATCACTTATCTGTCTACATATTGTATATAATAAAAAAGAAAATGTCACCATAACCATGCTCAGCTTGCACGTGACCCTCCAGAGTGTGGCCCACAATCCAAACAACGGAGCTGTACGAAGGAAAGGGAAGTACAGAGTGTTGGCTTCACAGGCAGACCTGCTTTAGGAGCTGTTTTTGGCCCTTTCTGAATACGATGGTTAAAACTACCGATCATTTTGGCAAAATAACCACACACTGTTCGAAGAGAATAGTGCATTTATAGCAGTTGTTTGGGGTTCGTTTCAGACGTCGAGAACAATCGTGTCCCTGTGATTATGAGCTGTTAGCAGGTGGGTGTGATGGCAGGATCACAGACATGGCTGAGAAGGGGCTTTTACAATGTTAAGCATATATTCAAATGCTAGGGCACAAGTATTCACACAGCCTATAGAAGTCGCTCAACTAGTTTCAGTTAGGGCTGCTCGATTATGGCAAAAATGATAATCACGATTATTTTCACTAAAATTGAGATCACGATTATTTGACGATATTTATTTAACCCTTTAAGACCTACCATAGAACCAAGTCCACCAGAGCTTATATTATTTTTTTACATGCTGTAGTGCCATTTGTGGGAGCATTTCAAGTTGCTATACATCAATACAACTGTTATAGCCCATATTTTAATAATATGTATGCATTAAGTCCATAGTAATTACATAAATTGCAAAAAAGTGCAATAAACTACAAAGAAAATTGAAAATCGCTTTTGTTTTGTTTACATATATTTCTACTTGGAGAAATTTAAGAGGTTTATCCCTCAAAACTTTAAATACAATAAAGTTGCAAAAAATAGTTTACAACAACAGGAAATTTATTTTGAGTGTCTTCATAGTTTTATTTTGGAGATACAGCAATTTTTATATACTGCAGGAAAAACAAAAAACAATCCTATGATGCAAATTTGCAAAGAAAACAGCATGTGCATCATTTCACTGTGGGAAGTGTTACGAACAGCTGATAGGAACGGCAAAGCGTGTTTCTGGA